CTGGTTTTAAATAAGCAAACAGCAAGCCAGGTGTGGTGGTGCACGTCTATACTCCCAGCACTTTGGGAGGCCGAGGTGAGAGCATTGCCTGAATCCACAGGTTCGAGACCAGCCTGGGCAACTTGGCGAGACCTCGTCTCTACGGTAAATCAAAAAATTAGCTGGGTGTAGTGGTGCAAGCCTGTAATTCCAACTATTGGAAGGCTGAGGCGGAGGGATTGCCTGAGCCCAGCAGGTCGAGGCTGCGGTGGCCGTGAGTGTGTCACTGCACTCTAGCCTGGGCGACAGAGTGAGACTCCAACTCAAAAAACAACAACAATAATAAAAACAAACAAATACATGCGCCTGTAGTTCCAGCTACTTGGAAGGCTGAGGTGGAAGGATCGCCCGAGACCAGCAGGTCGAGGCTGCGGTGGCCGTGAGCGGCCACTGCACTCCAGTCTGGGTGACAGAGTGAGACTCCAACTCAAAAAATAAATAAACAAACTAAAAAATAAACAAGTAAGCAAACAGTGGTTACATGAGAGCATGCTCTTATCTCAGGAGACGTGTCGAAATACTAAAATTTATGGTGAAAGGACACGAGGCTGGCAAGTTGTGCTCAAGGGCTTTAGGAAGTGCGTGTGCATGTTCGTGTGTGCCTGCGTGTATGGTGAGAGACCGGAAGTGAGAAGGCCTCGGGCCTAGTGACGCACCTGGGGGCACACGGGAGCCACCTGGGCTGCTCCGAGTTTCTGGTGTGTTTGAAAGTACTTAAACACTAAGAGGGAGGGAAGGAAGCAGAGCCACAGGTGATGTGTGGCGTCACGGGCCCTGACAGCACCGACGGTCCCAGGCACATGTGGCCATCCTGTGACGCCCAGACACCCAGCTAGCAGGCCCCCAGGACTCTGGGCTCCATGGCGCCCTGGTGGGGGGACGAGGTGTGGCCGTCTCCCCTGGGGATTTGCCAGGCCGGCCTCCTTCCTGCCCTGCCTGGGGTGGGAGGAGAGAGGCTGAGCCCTCACCCTCCTCAGGGCACAAGGAAGACGTTCCCACGGCTGCCCAAGGGCCACGTGGTGGCACAGACCCTGGGACGTCCCCACTGTGCCCGTCAGACACGCATCGTGGCGAGCCTGGCGCCGAGGAAGCGCTCGGTGGCCGTGCTGGTGTCGTCCTTGCTGCACTGTCTGAACTCTCGCTTGCGGGCCGCGGGGGCTGTGCAGGGAGGGGCTCACTGAATTCAACAGGAGTCTCGCGCCACGTGGACTCCTCCGGCATGTCCAGACCATGCTTGTGACTCACTTCTGCACTGGCTGGAAGTCAGCACACTGGCATCCCGCCCAGGGGACTGCCGGGCCCGCTGCTTTACTTCGAGGGACTTTGGAGGGAGTTTAGAGCCCAGACGTTGGCACCGAACACCGGTCTGGCCTTAGCCCTTCTAACAGTTGGCGTTCGGCTGCCTTTCTCTCACAGCCCAGCAGGAGGCGTTGGTGCCGGCCGGTTGCTCGTGGCCACATGACCGTGGGGTGTGCGGTGGGGCAGTGGAGGGGCGGGTCTTGCTGAATTCGGGGAAGCTGAGGAAGGAGGCTGCGGTCAGCCTGCGGGGTTTCCAGCCACGCCGCGTCCGCCGACTGCTGGGCTTTGGGCAAGGGCCTCGGAGGCTCCGAGTCTTGGCTTCCTCGTCTGCACGGAGGGGTCGGAGAACAGTGCCTGCCTTGTAGGGGGGTGGGCCAAGGGCGTAAACGCGCCCCAAGCGGTGGCCCGTGGGTGGGTGTCAGTGCCCGTGTGGACCTGCTCTCATCTGTGAGGCCCTCGGAGGTGGCTGACCCTTCTGCTCAGGCCACTTCTCCTCCCTGGATCTGCTCCCACCAACACCAGGAAGGAAGGACAACGTCCAGCACAGCTGCCTCTAACTCGGCTTTCGGGCATAGGGATGTGGGGAGAAATGGTTTCCAGCATAAATGCAAATGCTCTTAACCAAAGAGTTCAAATGGCTTCATCCAAATCCACCTGCGGTCCGAACGCCGTGTCCCACAGACACGCCCTCCCCACAGGACACTTGTTCGCCATGGGTGGCTTCCGTGGTTGTCCCCGATGGCTGGGCCTGGGCCCGGGCCCAGGAACAGAGCCCACGTGCGCTTGTGGGGACAGCACTGCCAGAGTCCGGTTTCCTCTGACAGACACAGCCTTCCCGAGCCACAGTCGGAGCGCCCACCCAAGCCCCGGCTTCAGACCTCGCACCCCGCGCCCTGGACCACTGCCCACCGCGTGAGGCCACGCTCCTGGCCCACCCCTGCCTCTGACGCATCCTTGTCTGCTGTCGAGGCCTGAGAGGCCTAGACCCTCAGCGCCAGATGCCTCAGGGGTGCTGTGGGTCACGCGGGGCCCAGCCCCGGTGCCCGGAGAGGGTCCTCGCGCGGGTCCACACCTCGCTGGACCAGAGCTACTGGAGGCGAGACGCCCCTTGTCTCACGGGTCTCAGAGGAAGAAAGAAAAAACTCCCCCACTTAAACCGTGAGGCACAGTCAGCTCCCGGAAATGTTCAGTCTCAGAAATATCAAAAGCAGAAGATGCAGCCTAGAATGGAACGCGGCGTCCCCGGCTGGAGTGGGGCTGAGGAGACGGGGACTGTTAACCAGGCGGGTAGAGGTGTGTGTGGTGCAGAGAGAAACATTCCCCGACCAGCTGACAGCTGCCGCCTTCCTCAGCTCCCCTGAATTCAGCGAGATCCACCCCGCCACAGCCCTGTCACACACCCGTGGCCATGTGGCTGCGAGCACCAGGCTGGCGCCAATGCCTCCTGCTTGGCTGTGAAGAAAAACCAACTGAATGTTGACTGATAAAGCCGGTTAATGCCAGCCTGGTGTTCGGTTCCAATGTCTGGGCTTGAGAAAAGCCAAAAGCAGACACACCACACTGTTCCTGTTCGTGGAGAGAAGTCATGCGTGTGCATAATGCAAACGCAAGTGTGACTCTCACGCACAACCTGCTTGTGTGTGCAGAGTATCCAGAAGGCTGAGTAACAGCCCCCGGCCTTGTTGTCTCTAGGGTGCCACAGGCCACCATGGTGGCATTTGGATTTCTGAAGCTGTGTGCCCCAATCACGCCATCATAAAAGCGCAATTGGCAAGCATTGAGCTTTTCAAAATAGAGCGTCGCCTCAGTACTTTCCATGGCTTCCTTTCCCATCAAACTGTGGGTTTCTCTGTGATGGGAACATGAAACTGGGGAAACTTTGCTTTTATTTTATGACGGCTGTGAATTTTGTTTCAACATGAGCTTTAACCTGTAATCCATTTGCAGACAGATTCCCTTTCCGACTCTTGTGGACCACCTAATTCTCCGTTGCACACCGGGCCCACCCGCGTCCCCATCTCCTGTGACGCAGCCCTGTCCTGCAGGGCAGGGCTGCGAGGGAAGGGCCACTCAAGGGTGAGCTGCGCGTCCCGACACCCAGCCCCGTGTCACGTACGCCGGCCGTGCCAAGTGCGAGGAGAGCTTCCGGCTTACCTTGCGTGGGATTCTTTTCCTGAAAGACAACTCTCAGCCAGTGCTCCACCCCCGTGGACCTGACTGGACCAGCACGTGGCAGTGTGGCCCCGAGGCCCTCGCCCAGCGCGGAGGGTACCTGTGGTTCTTCTGATTGGAGGCATCAGCAGTAGCGTGCGTTAGTTTAGTTATTCAGAAACAACACGGAAACACTTTGTGGCCACCTGCAGTGGAGACTGGCCATAGAGCCCTCCGTCAACACGACTCCACACTTCCCACGAAAGGAGCGTGGTGGCTCTATTGAAAAACAACCCCCCACCACCACGCCTGCTTCTCGAGCTGAACACAGGCGGTTTCTGCCAGGGCAGGGGGGCAGGGAGGGGGCATCTGGGGAGTCGGGGCCGTTCCCAGAAGCCGCAGCCCAACGCGGCTGTGACCTGGGCGTCTGACCCTCGCCCCTGAAGCCCACTGCCTTCCTCCACCAGCCATTGACTGGTCGAAATCCTGCGTGAGAAGATAAAGCCCTCAGGCAGTCCCCACCCACCCATCCTACAGAAGAGGACAGAGCCCAGGGGAAGAGGCCTGCATTTTGAAGGCTGGCCCGGTGCCAACCAGTCAGCACTTCCCACCTGGCTCCGACCTCTGCGGAGACGCGGGACCCTCTCTGTGGACGGGCCCTCCACGGGGCGCTCGCTCTGCTCCGAGAGCCCTTGGGGACGAGACCATGCCAACAAACAAGACAGCCCCAGCCAAGCTGCCAAGCTCAGCGCGAAACATCCGTCGTCTACGCTGTTTTATTCACACCAGATGCTACTTGGGAAAATCATGTCCAGATTCATTTTAACTGGAGCCGTGGTCGGGGAACAGCTGCCTCCTCACCCGAGCCTGGAGCTGCGGGGGCACAGGCCTGCCGCCCCATGCACCGACTCACTCAGACGTGGCCGAGGCAGGCCCATGAGATGCCGGGGCGGAACGCGACTATTTCTTTCCTGGTTTCTTCAGTGAGTCGGTCCGAGAGGCTGCTCTCAGAATCTAGTGTGATTAAAAGTGGGCAGGCTAAGCGAGCGCTTCTGTGTCCCGCAGGCAGGTGGCCGGTGGCCGGTCCCTTCGGGAGCCCAAGGCCAGCCCACGCAGCACGCAGTGGGTCGGGGCGCAGCCGGCCATGGAGACGCCCCGAGGCGGGAGAGGCCTGTGTGTTAGCGTTGTGGATGTGAGTGAGCACACAGCGTTAGTTCCGCAGCAGAATAAAATACAGCGCTTGCCCCGGAGACCACGAGCAGCAGCCACGTGGAGGCTGGCACTGGCGTCGGTGCGTTTGGTGCGGGGGAGGGACGCGTGCTCCAGGACAAGCGGTGCATTTTATGTGGCGGCTGGGCTTCTGCAATGAAGGAAGGGGCCACACGGCGCCGGGCCAGGGTGCTCCGGGGGACATGGCGCCCGCTCACCCACACCTAAGGAGGCCCCGGCGGCCGTGTGGACGCCACGGGCCGGAGCAGGGCTCGGCGCTCTAGGGGGGGCGGAGAAACGCTTTACTTCTCCTCGGTGGACAGGCGGTGCAGCGCTGCGCCCAGCTCCTCCAGCGCGGCCTTGTGCTCCAGCTCCTGGTGCAAGCCCGTGGGGACGCCGTCCAGGCCGTGCAGCAGTCCGAACAGGCAGCCCGCGATGGTGCCGGTGGCTGCGCTCTCACCTGAAACACACACACCGCAGTCCCAGTGGGCGCCCCCGCAGGCCTCCGCTGCCTCCCAAGCCCCCTGCGGAGACCCTGCCGGGCTGGCCGCCCTGGGTGGGCAGCGCTTCCCACACCAAACCCCACTCTGGGGGTGGACAGACAGGGACGGGGGCTCCCTGCTTCCTCCTTGGCGCAGGTGCAGCCAGGGGTCATCCCGCCACCACGAACCCCGACACGCCAGGAGGGTGTGGAGGAGAGACGGGAGGACACGGTGCCCGAAGGCTCGTCGCCGTGCGAGAAATGCTGGGCTGAGCCGTCTCCGTGCAGACCTTCCTAACCCATTGGCATGTATTTTTTCAGCTCAGGTATGCAGTTGAGACGCCAGCCCCCACCCGGCTCTGCAGTTCAGAATCCTCGACCGTGTGCAGCTGACTTGCTTCCCTCAGCCCGAGGCAAGCTCTAAACACCTGTGGAATGAGGCCAGGTGTCGCAGCTCATGCCTGATTTCAGCACTTTGGGAGGCTGAGGCAGGAGGAGCACTTAAACCCAGGCGTTGGAGACCAGCCTGGGCTTGAGGGATAGCCAGTCCTCGTCTCTGCAAAAAGTAAGACTAGTCAGGTGTGGTGGCAAATGCCTGTAGTCCCAGCTACTCAGGAGGCTGAGGCGAAAGGATTGCCTGCTTGAGTCTAGGAGGTCAAGGCTGCAGCGAGCCGTGATCATGCCACTACACCCCAGCTTGGGTGACAGAGCAAGACCCTGACGCAAAAAAAAAAAAGATCCGTGGCACATGGAAGGTGGGGCCACTGAGGGGCAGGTGGGGCTCCAAGAGGGGACACCGCTGGGGGACCCAGGGTGACACCCAGGAGTGGGAGGTGGGCCAGCAGCACCTCGGCCTCATCCTGCCTGCCCGGGGCCTGCTGCCACAAGAGGTGGCTCCTCCACGTCTGTGGTCCTGGGACACCCGAGAGGGTCCTTCAGGGAAGAGGGTGCTGGCCCCTAGAAGCCTCTGACTGTTAAGGAAGGAAGTCTCACCTGAGTGAAACATGGCCCGATGGCACAGCTCGGTCCAGCTGTTGCCTGCTGCGAGGAGGGCGTCATAGGCGATCATGGGGGCATCGTGGCCGCGTCTGCCCCCTCGACCCTCTGAGCTCCACTTCTTATAGGTCTGAGGAAGCCGTGAGTCAGGGCACGTGTTCAGCCGGGGCCAAATCCATGTGTGTTACGGCATAAGCTTCCCGGGCTCATCCCAGGTGGCAGCCATTACGCCTGTCGATTCCGTCATTCACCCGCCTACCAACCCACTCGTTCGTCCACCCACCGT